ATCAAAGTGATTCTATTTCTCTCAAAGCTCGAATTAGAGAGATGGAAGATAAAAGAAAGGAAGGGTTTTATCTCCTTTCTTCTCTGTTAATAAAGCAATAAAGGGGAAGAATATATTTTTCCTTTGCCTCCAAATCATTCAATCTAAACTCATTGTAAAAGGTTTAGACTTTAGTTTGATAATTTCAAATTTAAAATTTGTGTCAAGTGGGAGAAATTTGGTACTAATTTTTTGTACATCGTTCCAATGTTTGTTTCTATGATTATGGATTCTTTGCAATTATAGGAGCTATGTGGAGATGGAAAAGCAATTCAAGATTTTCGTGTATCCCGAAGGGGAGCCCCCAGTGTTTCATGATGGTCCTTGCAAGAGCATATACTCCATGGAAGGAAATTTCATCCATAAGCTTGACTTAGATAACAAATTCCAAACCAAAGACCCTCAGAAAGCACATGTTTTCTACCTTCCATTCAGTGTAGCCAAGATGGTACAATTTGTATACGTTCGCAACTCCCATGATTTCGGTCCCATAAAGAGGACTGTCATAGATTATGTAGATCTTGTAGCAAGGAAATACCCCTACTGGAATCGAAGCCTCGGCTCTGACCATTTCATGCTTTCTTGCCATGATTGGGTGAGTGTTCACCATTACTACTTTATACATCCCTTACCATTTAACAATCTATTTTTTTTGGCAACGTTAGAACTAGGAACATTGGAAACAAATGTGTCCAACCCTTTTTTTTTCTTTTGGTTTTTGTTATAGGGGCCGGAGGCAAGTTTTTCCCTTCCATACCTACACAAGAACTCCATCCGTGCTCTATGCAATGCCAACACCTCAGAAAAATTCAACCCCATCAAGGATGTGTCCATACCAGAGATCAACCTCCAAACTGACAAACTAGAAGGCTTGGTTGGAGGCCCATCTCCCTCACGTCGTACAATCTTGGCTTTCTTCGCAGGAGGGATGCATGGCCCTATTAGACCTATCTTGCTTGAACACTGGGAAAACAAGGATGAAGACATCAGGGTACACAAATACCTTCCTACAGGGGTATCCTACTACGATATAATGAGGAAGAGTAAATACTGCCTTTGTCCAAGTGGTTACGAGGTTGCCAGCCCCAGAATTGTGGAGGCTCTATACAATGGATGCGTTCCAGTGCTGATTTCTGTGAGTTATGTCCCTCCATTTAGTGATGTCTTGAATTGGAAGTCATTTGCTGTTGTACTTTCAGTGGATGATATCCCTAATCTAAAGAACACACTAACTAGCATATCCTGGAGGCAATACATAAGAATGCAGAGAAGGGTGCTACAAGTAAGAAGACATTTTGTGTTCAATTCTCCACCAAAGAGGTTTGATGTCTTTCACATGATCCTTCACTCTATTTGGCTGAGAAGACTTAATGTTAAAATCAATGATGGTCATGGAGCCATGACCATTTGATGAAATTAAGAACGGACCACACTGATAGGTAACAAAAACCAGGATGATTAATCCTTTGTTGTTTGCAATTATAGTTAGTTCTGTTGAGTTAAGCCGTGACAACAAAGCTACACATGTCCAGCAACATTTTTGAAGTTATAGCACATTGATTAGCTAAAGTAATGAAACAGGGCAACTATTGCTTAGTTAGCTTTTGAATGTAACTTAAGAAATAGGCTATTGGTTTTGAAGCTTAGTTTGTGTTGATATGCTGCCCATTTTTGTTGTTTACTGATATGTCATACCATTGGCTACTTACAAGGAGACTAGGTAGCACAACTTTGGGAAAAGAGAAGTCAAATCTTAACTTTTCATTGTAATTTTTTTTCTATGTAAAAAAGGTTGAATTAATTAGAAATGCTATGGGTTCTGCTTTCTATCTTCCTCCTGATTTTCTCTCCATTTCTTTAGGGAGAAACTAACAAATGTTATCAGAGCCTTTATGATTTTGAGGGACCTTTAAGAGTGATTTTAAGAGAACACTCAAAAGACCAAAAAATATCCACCTTTCTAAATGGATTCTAGTAGGATTTGTTGTGAAATCCCTCTTCCATTTTTTGCGAAAACCTACTTTTAGCCCCTCACCTTACCAAGTTTAAAGGTTTTAGCTCATTATCTTATATTATGACACTTTTAACCCTTCACCTTACTAGATTTGTAGGTTTTAACTCCCCACCTATTAAAATCAAAGAAAATAGCCCTCACTTTATATTGACTGTTAGCTGTATTAGCTCTATTAGCTAAAAGTAGATTTTTATCAATTAACAATTAACTAATAGCCAACTAACAGAATTAACGAAATATTATAAAGTTAGTTCTGTTAACTCTATTAGCTGAAAGAAGGTTTTTGACAGCTAACAATCAGTTAACAGAACCAATAAAATGTTATAAAGTAAGGGTTATTTTCTTCAATTTTAATAGGTGAAGGACTAAAAGTGTTATAGTATAAGGTAAGGGATTAAAACCTACAAATCTAGTAAGGTAAGGGATTAAAAATATCATATTATAAAGTGAAGGGCTAAAACCTTCAAACTTGTCAAGATGAGGGGCTAAAAGTCGACTTTTGCCTCCATTCTTAGCCAAATCACTCAACAAGTGATGAAGGCATATGGTAGGCCCACTATAGCTCAAGATCAAGCATGGTGAGGAGATGGTGTGAAGAGGTAAGCTGGACCAACGAAGAGAAGGTGTTCATGGTTTCTACAGCCAATGGTCCAAAGGGAAAAAGAATGTATGTCAAGGGTGCAGCCTGAGAAAGGAAGAAAACTCAGAGCATGAATTAAGTCATGTTCACCATAAAGATGAATTTGATCTATGACCCTAAGGAAGCTATATGAGATGAAAAAGATGATTAAGCAACACTTTGAGGTACCAATTCCTTGTTTTATTTACCCAGAAAATGCAACTTAGTTGCAAAACCTCCAAAATTTGTTTGAGGTAGCAAAATCCAAAGAAGGAAAGTGGTAATGAAGGAGCTGAGGTTGTTTGAGAAGGGTGGTACATGGCTGTGCAAAAATAAAATAAAAAATTTTGAAAAGCAAATGTAAATGAAAGGCTACACAAAATGGCAGCAAATGAAGAAGGGAGAGCTGTACCAACAGCAAAGTAGTAGCAAAGTGTAGCAAGCTAAGTTGCAAATGTTGATGAAATGAGATTGTAATGAACAGCAAATGAAATGAAAATGCAAATCAAAGGTTGCAAAATAGCAGCAAAGTACAACAACAAGGAGCCACACAAATGGCAGCAAATCTTTTAAATGTAATCTTGCATTAAATGTTTTATAAATTTTCTCATATTAGGAAAATATTAGGTGAGAAAATTACTATTAATGTATTAAATGGTTTCTGCTATATAATGATAGAAGATGAATAAAAATAATAATAAGTTTTCACCTCTCCAAAAAAAAGGGAACTCAGGTGTGTCTCCTTCTCCTCCAAGTCCTCTCTCAAACCCCCTTCTTACCACTGAAAAATCTTAACAA